TTTAAGGTTGCAACCTTATAGAAACCACACCCTTTTTCTTATAACATTGAGTGTTAAATGAGTTGATAGTCAAGTCCACTGCCCTTGGGGTTCCTCCATGATTGGGGTTTGAATCCTTAACCTGCTCATTTTCAATTTTTGTTTTCAATTAAAAAGTTATTATAGAAATAAATGTCTTTTCTTGCAAATAAATTCTGGCGGTATGTTGGTTAAAGTGGTAAGCTCTTATAATACTCATTCTCAATAGGTCTTAGATTCAAATCATATTCCTAAATAATTTTTTAAGGGATTCGAATCCTCAACGTCATGGATCCGAAAAATGCACACAAACCAGTGGGTTAATTGAATGTTCATAGGCGAGGCCAAGTCGATTAATTCCACCCGAATCTCAAAACAAACTAGTGTGTTAATCGACTGTTCATGGGCGAGGGCGAGTCAAGTAGAGTAGTCTCGATCGAGTCTCAAAAATGTGGTTTATATGTTTAACATATATTCAAATAGGAAATAATATGTCAATATTCACTTATTTTTACAAGACAACGAAAATTGAAAAAAATTACATAAATATCCGTTACACTTTACGTTATTACGGATTTACTAAATAGTTTCCATTATTACATGTATGTCCGCTTTTTACCTTTTGTAACGTAATTTTTTAAAAAAGATGACTTTACTCTTTTTCAGATGTTCAACATCAAAAAATAGGCCGAAAGTTTAACGTTCACATTCTCATTTTCGGGTGTTGAGCATTTGAATTGAAGGGTTATGTCAATACATTGTATTCCTTGTGAAAATGGTTTTGAATATTGGATGTCAGAATATATCACATTTTTGGATGTTGAACATCCGTAAATGATTTCGGATGCTCGACATCCAAAAATGTCATATTTTCGGATGTTCATCATCTGAAAATGACTGCAAAATTCTAGAGACTTTTTGGAAATTCAAAGTCATATTTTTGGATGTTGAATATACGAAAATATGAAATTTTCAGATGTTCAACATCCGAATCTATTTTCAGATGTTGAACATCCGAAAAACCCTTCAATTCGATGTTCAACACTCGAAAATAAGAATGTAAACGTTAAACTTTCGACCTATTTTCGGATGTTGAACATCCGAAAAACCCTTCAATTCGGTTATTCAACATCAAAAAAAAGGTAAAATCGTTTTTTTAAAAAATTTACATTATAAAAAATAAAAAACAAACTTACATGTAATAACATTAAATATTTGATACATACGTAATAATGCAAAGTATAAAGAATATGTATATAATTTTCCCAAAAAAATTTATAGTGCTCTATTCTCTTCTTTTTTTTAACCAAAAAAACCTATTTATAGCGTTTTTAAGATATTTTTTAAGGACGGCCCCAATCCATCGATCAAGATCGCCGATCTAAATTAATTTCTGAATGGCTGCTGATCCCAGCTCTCAAAAGTTGGTGAAAAGACGTGGCGTGAGGTAGGAAAGTACATCAGCTTTGATAGAAATTAATATATCTTTTTTTTTTGCAGGGAGAGAGAGAGATTTGAAACATTACTTATACCAAATGCCTCATGAACCACTGGAGTGATTGCTCATAGAAGAGCACAAAAGGACATCCATGTTCGCCTCGAGAACTTGCATGCTCCACC